GTTCTGCTGTCTCAGGAAATCTGTCACAACACGAGCGACATGTGGACGGGCGTTAATCTTGCTGAAGCGTGAAGTTACGTCTCTGTCCTTGAATGAACGGCTGCACATGAGGCCCAATGATCTCATCCCTGTATCACAGACCTGTCAGACTGCCATTGACAATGACAAGTTGTGTCCAGCCATGAGGTGTGATACCTCCCCATACCATAACGCATTTATCACCAGACTGTTGACATAGAACAACTCACGTGTCGGCATACCGTTCACCTCGCCGTCTGTACACCCTGTGCCCTGTCATCTGAGCTGTCACGCGTGGACGGCCGGTCAGAGGCAAATCCCTCGTGTTCCCATTATGTTGAAAACGTCTCCACAGAGATGAGATTGTGTTTCAATGGGCACCAAAATGCCTGGCCACTTCATTTGGGGCCATTCCAGCCTCCAGCATACCCACTGCACGGAGACGCTGATTTTCTCTAAGCCGTGGCATGACGAACGCGCAGTTCAGGTCATCCACGACTTTCAGAGACTAGAGAATAATCACCAGTTCTTCAATTTTCAATATCAGGTTTGTGAACGTATGGTGTCAAAAAGTTTGCAAAAAGTCAGTAAGTTCATAAATTTCATACAAAGTGTTTTGCTAAGGATTATTTTTACAACCTTTCAAATAACTTTTATCTTAAGCAATTATATGTGATGCACAGTAATTTTTTTCGTCAGTATAATCCAGTGTTATCGTGTGTGGCTGGATGTAAGGCGCTATATAGCAGTACATATATTCCAGTGTTATCGTGTGTGACTGGATGTAAGGCGCTATATAGCAGTACATATATTCCAGTGTTATTCTGTGTGACTGGATGTAAGACACTATATAGCAGTACATATATTCCAGTGTTAATGTGTGTGACTGGATGTAAGACGCTATATAGCAGTACATATATTCCAGTGTTATCGTGTGTGACTGGATGTAAGACGCTATATAGCAGTACATATATTCCAGTGTTAATGTGTGTGACTGGATGTAAGACGCTATATAGCAGTACATATATTCCAGTGTTAATGTGTGTGACTGGATGTAAGACGCTATATAGCAGTACATATATTCCAGTGTTATCGTGTGTGACTGGATGTAAGACGCTATATAGCAGTACATATATTCCAGTGTTATCGTGTGTGACTGGATGTAAGACGCTATATAGCAGTACATATATTCCAGTGTTATCGTGTGTGACTGGATGTAAGACATATAGCAGTACATATATTCCAGTGTTATCGTGTGTGTGTGTGACTGGATGTAAGACGCTATATAGCAGTACATATATTCCAGTGTTATCGTGTGTGACTGGATGTAAGACGCTATATAGCAGTACATATATTCCAGTGTTAATGTGTGTGACTGGATGTAAGACGCTATATAGCAGTACATATATTCCATATAGCATGTACATATATTCCAGTGTTAATGTGTGTGACTGGATGTAAGACGCTATATAGCAGTACATATATTCCAGTGTTAATGCTGGATGTACATATATAGCAGTACATATATTCAGTGTTATCGTGTGTGACTGGATGTAAGACGCTATATAGCAGTACATATATTCCAGTGTTTATCGTGTGTGACTGGATGTAAGACGCTATATAGCAGTACATATATTCCAGTGTTATCGTGTGTGACTGGATGTAAAGACGCTATAATAGCAGTACATATATTCATGTTATCGTGTGTGACTGGATGTAAAGACACTATATATATTCCAGTGTTAATGTGTGTGTGTGACTGGATGTAAGACACTATATAGCAGTAGCAGTACATATATTCCAGTGTTATCGTGTGTGACTGGATGTAAGACGCTATATAGCAGTACATATATTCCAGTGTTATCGTGTGACTGGATGTAAAGACACACTATATAGCAGTACATATATTCCAGTGTTATCGTGTGTGACTGGATGTAAGACGCTATATAGCAGTACATATATTCCAGTGTTATCGTGTGTGACTGGATGTACACAAATGACGTCATCGATCGGCCACGTTCTGGACGTCCCACGTGTAACAACGCCAAGAGACAGGACATATGGATAAAGGGTGACCCATCTTCGCCACAGGTTTCAGACTGCAGTGATGACTGCCCGAACCATCCAAGGACTTCGCCGTATCCCACTAACACAGTTCGACAACGTTTACGTCATCCACGTGATCAGACCGACGACGCCATAGCACAGCCTATCCTATGACTTCAACGTCATCGACAAGCTCGCCGAATGTGAGATTGCCGAAATCATGTCCGCAGACCCTTGTTTTTGGTGGAGAAATGTTGTTTTACAGGTGGGGTCAAAATTAACATTTCCCATAGTGATGGACGTCAACTTGCCTATAGACGTGGGAGAACGTTATGCATAGGCCTGTGTCTTGGAGAGAATCGCTTTGGTGGTAGTTCCGTGATGATTTGGGTCGTTGGAATAACGCGCCCAAAAATCCTTTTGGTGATTGTTCAGGGCAACGCTATAACACGCTATATAGCAGTACATATATTCCAGTGTTATCGTGTGTGACTGGATGTAAGACGCTATATAGCAGTACATATATTCCAGTGTTATCGTGTGTGACTGGATGTAGGACGCTAAATAGCAGTACATATATTCCAGTGTTAATGTGTGTGACTGGATGTAAGGCGCTATATAGCAGTACATATATTCCAGTGTTATTGTGTGTGACTGGATGTAAGACACTATATAGCAGTACATATATTCTAGTGTTAATGTGTGTGACTGGATGTAAGACGCTATATAGCAGTACATATATTACAGTGTAATCGTGTGTGATTGGATGTAAGACGCTATATAGCAGTACATATATTCCAGTGTTATCGTGTGTGACTGGATGTAAGACACTATATAGCAGTACATATATTCCAGTGTTAATGTGTGTGACTGGATGTAAGACACTGTATAGCAGTACATATATTCCAGTGTTATCGTGTGTGGCTGGATGTAAGACGCTATATAGCAGTACATATATTCCAGTGTTATCGTGTGTGGCTGGATGTAAGACACTATATAGCAGTACATATATTCCAGTGTTAATGTGTGTGACTGGATGTAAGACACTATATAGCAGTACATATATTCCAGTGTTATCGTGTGTGACTGGATGTAAGACACTATATAGCAGTACATATATTCCAGTGTTATTGTGTGTGACTGGATGTAAGACACTATATAGCAGTACATATATTCCAGTGTTATCGTGTGTGACTGGATGTAAGACGCTATATAGCAGTACATATATTCCAGTGTTATCGTGTGTGACTGGATGAAGGACGCTAAATAGCAGTACATATATTCCAGTGTTAATGTGTGTGACTGGATGTAAGACACTATATAGCAGTACATATATTCCAATGTTATCGTGTGTGACTGGATATAACACGCTATATAGGAGTACACATATTCCAGTGTCATCGTGTGTGACTGGATGTAACACGCTATATAGCAGTATATATATTCCAGTGTAATGTGTGTGACTGGATGTAAGACACTATATAGCAGTACATATATTCCAGTGTTAATGTGTGTGGCTGGATGTAAGACACTGTATAGCAGTACATATATTCCAGTGTTAATGTGTGTGACTGGATGTAAGACGCTATATAGCAGTACATATATTACATTGTTATTGTGTGTGACTGGATGTAAGACACTATATAGCAGTACATATATTCCAGTGTCATCGTGTGTGACTGGATGTAAGACACTATATAGCAGTACATATATTTCAGTGTTAATGTGTGTGGCTGGATGTAAGACACTGTATAGCAGTACATATATTCCAGTGTTAATGTGTGTGACTGGATGTAAGACGCTATATAGCAGTACATATATTCCAGTGTTAACGTGTGTGTCTGGATGTAAGACACTGTATAGCAGTACATATATTCCAGTGTTAATGTGTTACTGGGTGTAAGACACTATATAGCAGTACATATATTCCAGTGTTAATGTGTTACTGGGTGTAAGACTCTATATAGCAGTACATATATTCCAGTGTTATCCGGTGTGACTGGATGTAAGACACTATATAGCAGCACATATATTCCAGTGTTAATGTGTGTGACTGGAAGTAAAACCAGTGTCTGTGAGGTATGTATTCCTATGGCACGACACAGCAGCACGTGTCGCATGCCGTCTGTACACAGATCACACAATCAGGTGATGGACAAGTCCACCATAGCCCATTTACTGTTCAAAATAAAAGCTGTGTAGCAGAGGTTGGAGATTTTATGGATGACAACTTGTTTTATGAAGCGATATTTCGGCTTAGATTCTTACACCGTTGTCAACCAAGCGTAACCACGAGTAGTAAGATTGGCACTCTAGCCTGGTACCGGAAACGTCGCATGGTACTGCAACAAGACGTTGTAAGTATCCTGCCTTATATATTTTTCATCAACTTCAGACAGATTAGGAACGATGTTAATCTGAACTACGTTTGCTGTAAGTGCAGAGATTCTACAGATTAAACGCCAACTTTTTCTACGTGCACCCGTCCGTAACATCTCCCGCAGCAGATGTTTGACGTCATCATCGCTGGGAATAATTGTAAAAGGGTGACTCAGATCCGGCTCATAGGTTTTTCTGGCACGTGTATTTCAAGCCACTCAAACACGATATCACGTGTCCGCTAATTCAAAGAAAAACTGTTATAAACGTATATAGCTCTACCTGTTATTAAGGGACCATGTTTCACTGCGTATGAGTGAGTATGGTTAGCATTACTCTGACACCATAGACCCAGAAGAAACCAACAATGATCTTTACATACTAAAACCCGTGTGGGAATCGATCATGTGGGGTCTAAGTCACGAAGAGCAAACGCTTAATCCACTAGACCACCCCACCGTGTCTTCCATGTATTCGTCAAGGCTGTAGATATACAGCAGGCAGCGGGTGTATTTCAGCATTCATTCGTCGATAAAAATAATCAAATGAAATACCTCTTGAAAACATGAGTTTGAAGTTTATTCCATGAAGTGTCGTTTCAACATCAGTAACAAAGTCTCGAACCCAGACACGGTACCGAAATAGCGCCTGTTAACCATTACTTTGTTTCGCTCTCCACATACACGAGTATCAAAGTTTGAACATACAATTTCATAATGGAAAAAATTATTTATGAAACATGTCAGTGCGGGGGCGTTTGTCGGCAGTCGTCTCTCTCTTTCAGCAACAGGCCATGGTGATGAACGTCTGATCCAGAAGGAAGGAATGGTGGTATGCAGCCTCACATTTTGCATCCGGGCCACAGGATGATGACGTCAGAGGTCACGTGACTCAATGACGCATTGTACGAGATGCCATCAGTCTTTCCCATAGGTCTTGTTCTGCCTAAAAATATGCACGAAAACATGATATTTATTAATAAGTAAATTAATTAGTGACACATATTATATTTCTGTGTGGAACAATGTTTTATGTTTACATAAACCAGGACATGGAGTACTTAGCATCAGTAAAAGTGTTTAATATTTGACACTCTTATTTTGTACTGAGATGAATATCCCAGACAGGGAGTAAGGTGTAATTACAACATTTTAACTGCTAACATTTCGTACATAAAAGTTTACGTATTTGACCTCTGACATAAAGTTTACATGTGTATCTGTATATTCTCTCTGAAAACAACTTTGTGTATAAAGTTATGTGTAAACCCACTAAACGCTGTTCAGAAAATACTCGGATACATATATTTTTAAAAAACTCCTCGACAACCAGTCTGTGAAATCGTTTTCGTAAAGCCTTGACTTGTATACGACTCACGTCAGCTAAGTTTCAGTAAGTCTATTGAGTTATTGAATACACTGAAGCAGGCTGTTTCAACAAAGCGGCCGGTTACAGGTTTGTCTTTCTACGATCTGTTCTCCTTCAGCTGTGTCGACGAATGTGGAAGAATGACCATCTACTATACGAAACTTACGGCAATAAGGTAACTTCATCGGATAAAATTATCGACCACCAGTAATTGACGGATTTTCGTACAAAATTTTCAACGGGTGTTCGGTTTTCGTTGTACATGAGAATAACAAATGAATTAAAAGGACACTTTCTGTATATTCTCATGGCACGCAATGTCCCCTTGTCTCTTCATACAATGAGTATTTCAATAGAAAATGAACCCATCTTCAATCACACCTGAATTTAACAATTTACATCCTAAGATAATGTTTTTCCGTAATCGCAATATACTTGTCTTCGTGCCCAGCAAACTCTCACACCGTCTTATTGTCAAGTAGGGTGACTGTTTAGTCAGCACTTAGGGCCGCTTCGAACAGTAACCCAGGCTGTGTAAGTGTAAGCTGTTTGTTTGGGTTTGTAAACCCACGGGAACGGTTATGGTGCAGACAAACCAAGAATGGCGTTCAGGATTTGAACTCTCGACAACTGGATCCCGGCATATTTAAGGGACGCCATTCGCGACCCCGATTGCCATAATAACGAGGTGTTGGTTAAATACAGGAACATAAAATAATTGAGGATGTTTTCAGCCGCTGTGTTTACTTTATAACTATTCCAGCAATATAAGCTTCACATATTGCACTCATGTAGTGTAGCCCTCAGGCGGGACAAGCGACTGCTTTAACCACTGGACTACCACAGCGTCCCTTATTCATTATGTCTATATAGTAGCTGCTACGTGTGTCTGTACATGCCGAATGTCAACTGAAGGCAATGAACCACACAAAAACTACATGTAGCTTGTTCATTCTCCAAACACCGAGACACTCTCAATAATCTACTTGGACAAATCCCGCAAACATATTTTGCCTGTCGATGTGTGTGTTGCCGGGACGGAAGGTAATTAATCGGGCGATTCCAATACAACTCAATATCACGTGCCTCCCTCCGCCGTTTGTTTACTGAGTCAACATACATCACTCATGTGGTCTGTAATAGCCAGAGCAATGACCAAGGGCTAGTTATTGAACATCAATTACACAGCTTACTCGTGAACAACGCAAATACCCGGAACGGTGCTCTTTTATAAATGGCAGGAGCTATACTCGATCAAAGATCCCGCCTGTAGTCAAGGGAAGATTGGGCGGATCGGAGAGGTGTGTTTGGTAAACGCAATTCAGCAGAAACTCAGCAGACTGTTGTACATTGACTGCAGGAGTCACGCTCGCCTTCTTAACTCAATACCCAGGCCCAACCCATTGCTGATTCTTCTGCACCACTCATAACTTTTATGTCCATCACATTAATTCCAATCGTCAAAACGAGAAGATAACCAGCCTCTAAAATCTGCCTTGACAGATTCCACCCGGTCTAAAGGCTATATCGTGATGGTAATTGTATGAACGGATCAACTTTCTTCCCAGTCCGTATCTAAATCTCCTTCCTAATCCATATCTAACACTTGTAACTACTGTTTACACTCCTGTGTATCTTAGAGCTAACTCTCTCCCATCCTACTCAAACTGAAGATGTATGTCACTTCCTCCCAACATTAAACTGCCACAGCGAGATAGAGCTGTATATATTTTACAACTCATTATAATAGTAATCAACTGTCTGATACAGGTACGCATGACATTGATACTGCCCTCAGTGGCTGCTTGGAGGTTTTACTGTCGCATCCACTGAGTTTCAACACCATCTTCTTTGTGACTGGAGACCCTTTGATATCCCTGAGTCACCTGACGCTAATACATCCAATGACGAGACAGACCGAGTTGTACTTCTGTTGTTTGAGCATAGTTAAAGGGCGACAAGCCCCGAGTTAATTAGCAGTCCAAGACAACCCGAGTCAAGCCATTCAAAACTCGTTTTGTTTGTCTGTATTTCATATATTTTGAAGTATATCAATATCATAGTTGAAAATTACCACATTTACACGCAGACACTGCCTCAGATGAACACAAGCCACTAATTACAACATCTACAACAAAAACAGTCTGTCTGCAGATCATGCATCACAGTGGTTCTTATAACACGGTGCTCAGTCGGGCAAACTAAACAATGCTAATGGTTGATAGCCACACACATGAGGGTTCGATGACGTGTTTACTACGTCAGAGCTGAAATTCAGTCCCCACATCTACCACAGCACTTACACATCGGGGTCCAACTATTATTCAACCTCTATAGGTGGGTGCTACTGCCAATGGTCACAAGAATGAGTGAGTTTGTTATTCTTAACGGTATTTCAGTGTTAGTTTATCGTGGAGAAAAACCCCAAGTTGTGCAGCTTTTAGACATTCACTACTTTGAAAACTATGAACTATGATGAATCCTACTCAGGGTGAATCTGGACTTCGAACCCACAGTCAAAGGATACTGGTAGGTTCAAGAGACGCAACTCTGCACGGCACATAACGGCGTCATTGGCGACGTAGCTCGAGGCGACCTGAACATCGTTAGAAGTTGTCAGGAATTCTGTCTGGCGTGACTAATTTCGCCAGCAGCGTGTCCCTCGCCTTCCCACCACATCACGTTACGTCATTACGAAGTATTCGATATCTCGTCAGTCTCGCTCGTCGTCACAAAGACATATTGACCGCCATGTTTCCTTCCTGACACGTGGCGGAGGAGTAACGCGTTTCGTGAACATAATTAGCAGGTTAACATTCAAACTTAGTTCACGGACATCGATTATTTGGCAATAGGATCACCACCACCCACCACCACCACCCCACCCCACCACCCATCCAAGTTCAAACAAATATTGGGATACTTGTATGAGAACGTGTGGGGGATTTGGGGGAGTTTATAATAGTTCCCGGTACACTTTCAACGCTTTGGATCGATGTGTTCCACTTCTTGACTAAACGTGTTCCTATTTATTTTCAGTTTTTTTCTCGCATCAGTTCATCGATAACGCTACGAAGAAATATTACAAAATGCCAAATTTCTGACATATTGCATTACGTGTGATTTCATCAGAGGAGATTTTCAGAGGAGCGTGATGTTGGCTGCTCGAGCAGAAACAGTCGTTTAGAGCGTAAGTGTTGGGCTGTCAATCAGGCGTGAACGGGAACCTATCAATGTCGGAAAACCAGGGTAAAGAGCAGATACGTGACGCACAGCCTCAGGTTTTGAATTTATGCTACAAACGTTCTACAACGTGAATATTGTTTTACACCAGGATTATTAAAACCCTGCAATATCAGGACGAGGGGACAGTCGTGAAAACTCAGCCCTGGTGTTTAACACCTTAGCCAAGCAGTGCCGTCAGCTTCTGTCAGTTGGTAACCGGGATGTGGATGCCTCAAGGCCATACACGTGCGTCGTCATACGCGCGTCCCTCGTGGGGGCGGGCTACAGTTGATCCCTCACAACCTATGCCGTTGTAAGACGCGCCTCAGGGGATCGTGTGGTGAAGCTCGGGTACTTGATTGGTTGCTCGTCAGCGTATCGTGACAGCGTTGTTAGTTGTTCATACTATCAACCACCGGATCGTCCACACCAGACTACTGCAGTGCTGGGGGTAGTTCCAGGTGAAAATAGGTCATCTACCTCACGCAGGGCTTAGAAGCGATTAACTGAAAGCGTGTTGAATATGTAGCCTGTCTTGGCGTATTTCAACGATTCGGTGTTCGTGCTATCGACCTCTGGTTTACAAGGCACAAATTCTGCTAATGTTAGATCTCAGCAAACTAACGGCAATAAGGCAGTATGAGAATTAATTAAACATATATTATTCATATATTTCAGTCGATATGTAATGTGTATTGATTATGTTTTCAAACGTTCAACTGAAGGGCTTTTGTCCCAAGTTGGATCGTTATTCGGCACGTGAAGTGCATTAACACTTCCCACTACATCACGACAGCATAACATGGACTTTACGAAAGGTACTGAGACAAGTCGGTATGTACAATGCTGACTCCACAATATGTCCCACTATTGTACGGGACTGTACTGCACAGTACTCACTTTCCATGTCCCTCTTATATGTAGTAGCGCTTACACTTCTGGTAAGATACGCTAAGAGTGTTGTGCGTAGCGAGGTCAAGTGCCTGAATACCATTTAAGGGGTGATGTCTTTGTCAGAAGCTTGTTGACCAGCTAATGTAAATTACTACTTAATGTCCACGTATACGCTGCAAGTAAAGATTGCAGCTGTCTTTATTGATGGATGTGGACACGACAACACAGTGTACACCCGCATCAGCGATCAACGACATCGAACACGCACCAACAAATTAAATCCTGTTCTCTGTTCCGAGTATCAAGGGAGAGTCAATATTGGATGATATAATTAAGTAAACATTGCATTAACAGAAAGCAAAGATAGACATTATGTTTAAATACATTTCCCCACGGTTGTAACATATACATGTAATAATATGATCACGTGACATAGAATAACATGGCCATGTGACCTG